AGTGCTGGGCATAGAAGCCACAGGGCATAAATCTGCAAAGAAGTAAAAAGCTAACCTTTTCAAACAATATGGCTTCTCTCTCACTTACCAACTTTACATTTCCCTGTATGGCCCCGGAAGATGACTGGTTAGCCAGAGACGGGTAAGATTCCTCAAGGGAGGAACAACCTAAGACAGGCACAGTCACAGAGGGGCCATCAGGTGAGAAATTGGGGATCAACAGAGGTGAGGCTTAGAACCTCATCCCGCTGTTTTGAGAGAAATCTTCTGCATCCTTGGATGTTTTGCTGCCCTTGTCTAGCTTGGATTAATACTTAGTCTATAGGCACTGACCTGATCATCTACATTTGCCCTCTTATAGCACTAAACTATGTTTTCTATCTTTATCTTGCATCTACCTACCACTTCAGCATTTTATTAAAAATAATAATAATAATAAGGGGTAAATGTGGGATTCACATATAAATCAAGTATAAAAATCAAATGAATATTCATATTTGACCTGATTGTTTATAGTTCATAATGCGTGATCAAAACCGAAAGTTTCTGTAATGACTGCCCTTGTACTGTTCACCATGTAAGAACTTAATTCACTATGTAAGAATTTGTTCACCATGTAAGAACTTTTTCATTATGCTTCAGTAGATCGGAGACTGATGAGAATTAGGCTTGGGGTGGATAAATGATTGTGCATTGAGTTCCCTATACAGAATTTTATTGTTGTTAACAACGATTTGATCAATAAATATGAGAGATGCCATCTCAAAAAAAAAAGTGAACTATGAAAAATAAATAAAATCCAAAAAATTTAATCTGTATGGATTTAATCAGTTTACTTAGACTTTTTACAATATCTTGTGCTCCAAAGCTGCTAGGAAAGCTACCTCTTTGAAGTGGGAAACCATATTTCTAGTGCAATAAATAAAACTTGGATTTTAAGCATCAGATTTACTTAAATAGTTAGAACTTATAGCCTAAGTTTCCATATCCTAATTAAAATTTGAATCTGAATGGAATAATATTAAGTAAAAACAGATGGATTTCAAGTACAATTTTCATGAACGTAAATTAGGGAACAAAAAGCCCATAAATATTGTTTAGTTATCTTCTCCACAACCAACAGGTATTAAGAGGCAGCAAAGCACATAGATAGAGGAAAGTAAATACAGCACAAAAATTGTTTTAAAACAAACAAAATTGAGCATTTCATGAAGAGCTTTATCTACTCAGGGTTTGAAAATCACCTGACATAAATATGATGACAGTCAACCAGATACTAAATAATTCTGTAGGAGGAAAACTATAATTTAAACATATAAATTAATTCATCTAAATATTACTTATTAGTTGTAACTCTGTGGGGAGAGGGAAATCCTGGGTCAAAATACCTTTGAAACCGACATTTGTCAAAAGGAGAAATAAACTGGGAGAAACCCATTTATTTCTTACAAGCAGTCCGCTTCTGCTCTCTCTTGTCTCCTGAGACCAATCTGCAGATGAAGAGGCCCCCTCCCAACCTCTCCTGTCCAGTTAAGCCCTTGCTGGCTCCTGTAATTACCTATTGATATGGAGATAGACTACTTCTCTCCACCGCTTGGAAATACCTATTGTGTGAAGATGGACTAAAGCCAGGAGAAAGATCCTGGAAATATTGCAATTTTACTCACATTAGTTCTTTCTCATCCTTTCAATGCCACTGACTTCATTCTCTTCATAGCATTTTCTTTCCACCAGCCTACTTCTTCCAACTTCATAGTTGGCACAGAATTTTTAATACACCTTTCTCAGTCCAATTCAATTTGCATTAACTGAACATTATTAATGTCATATACTTTTATAGGATTTGAGAGCAGGAGAATTACTGAATCATTGCACTACAGTTATAGAAAGAAGGAATGATAGATGTTCAATTTATTTGGGGTCCTTACTACACTAAAGATGTACAGCAAATGATTAGAAGATTGTTCTGAGGGCATTAATGACTTGGATATTGAAGCATATGTAAAAGTTAGACGGATGAGGACTGGTAGAGGAGTGTTTTGATGAGAAGATACATTTGTGAAGGCACGGAGCTATGAAACATCATCTGATAATACAAATATATGATATATGATATTTGAGGCAAAGGGTCACAAAGGACGAGCTTAGGGGGATGGGCATTTCTTGTTGCCATGGGCTGTATCTTGTATATAAAGCAAATGCAGTGGATATTTTAAGCAGGCCAGTGACAGGATCAAGTTTGCATTTTAAAAGAAACCTTTTGTCTCAATCTAGATGAGAGATTTGATTTGGACTAGAGTTCAAGCAAGGGGACAAGTTAAGAGGTTATTGAAAAGGACAAGGCATGAAATGATGAGGGCTTAAATATGGTCCGTGGATAAAGATATATAGGCAAAGAAGCTTACTGGAGAAATACCAAGACTATGATTGATTAGAGGTGAATGTGAGAGAAATAAATTCTGAAACAGGGGCTCAAATTTTGAGATTATGTTAGTGAATGTGACATAAACTGAGATAAGAAACATTGATGGGAAAGATTTTGAAGAAAGATGGATAGTTTGAGTTTCAGTGGCTTATCGGCTATCCAATTAGAGGTACCCAGAAACAATAAAGTACATGATTCAGAAACTCCATAGTCCTGTTTATATGGAATTATACTATACTTTAAAGACATTACTCTACTGTCTTTCAGTTCGTGTTGGTCCTGATGTGAAATGTGCTATCATCCTTGTACTTGGTTTCTCTACACAGTGGGTCTTGTTTTTCTCTGGCTGTTTTTAATATTTTTGTCTTTATCACTGTTTTTAAGCAACTTGATTAGTATATGTCTCTGAATAGTTTTCTTCATATTTTTTGTTTGAATTTGTGGGTTTATAGTTTTCATCAAATTTGGAAAATTTTCAGTCATCATCATTCACATTTTTTTTGTCCCCTCTTTTGTCCTCTGGGGACTACAGATGCACATGTACTAAGGTACTTGAAGTGCTCCCACAGTTCACTAATGCTCTGTTCATTCTTTCAGTCTTTCTTTCTCACTGTATTGGATAGTTTCTGCTATATCTTATATGAGGTAGAGGACTGGAAGAAAAATAGAGAAACCATACATACATTAAGAAAAAAAAAAAGAGTATGTGGAAGAGACACCTGGACAGCCCCACCGCCTAATGTCTAGAGACTGAGAAAGAGATGATGGCAGGGCTGTGTCCCTGACTCTAGAGCAGCAAATTTTAAAAAGGAGGATGTCAACAGTGTACAATGCAGCTGTGATAGCTAGTAAGATAGGAATAAATAGTGTCAACAGGACATTATTGGTGAACTCTGGAAGTTTCAGAGTTTGGAAGGCATTTGAGAGAAAAGCAGAAGCCAGATAAAGTGAGCTGAGGCATGGATGCAAGATGATAAGGGATAGCAGTATGGACTAATAAAACCTTGGCTGAAAAGAGTTACAATAAGAACTCAAAAGTGGAAAAGGAAACTCTCCTGATGTGTTTTTTTTCCCCTGCCTGCTCCTCCCTCTTTCTACACTTTGAGAAAAGTTCTTCTGACACTCTGTTCTGTTCAGCATAACCAATTTCAGAGTTACACATGAATCATTCTTAAAATCATTCCTACATTTAAAGTACTTTAAGAAAAATTAAGTTATCCATTTGTAATTTAAGGGAACTCTTAACCAGTAAACAAAGAACACCACAAAACTACTAATAATACAGGGGTTTTGTTCAGTGGGGGACTTTAAAATATTTAAGGAGTGGTTCAAAATCTTCTACTTTCCAAAGTTTCCCTTCTATTTCTACTATTTCCATGTTAAATCCTTTTGGAGAGTTATCTCAGAAAAAAAAATCACTAGAGAATACCCAAATTCAGAAAGAACAATACAAAATTGAATGCAAAATGGAAAAGGAATAGTCAACAAGCATTAATGCCTTTCAATGCATTCAAGATAATGATATCTGAAAGTCTATGGAACAATAATTATAAGAAAATATTTATGGTTCAATTACTCATACAGTTGCATCACTTCCAGACATGCACTCTCTGCCACATGTACACATATAACTTAGTAGTTTGAGCCATTTATTATTTAGACCAACTTTTAAATAGGAATTCAGTTTTCATTGTCCTATTCTTTCTAATTCTGTGATTTCAAACATGAGCACCCTTAATCCCCAAAGGAAAGAATCCCATGAAAGTACACAGTAGTCTAAGAAACTACATTGTACTTTCATATTTACTATGTTCTATAAAATCAGTATGAGTATAACAAACTGAAACTATTATGGAAAAATATGCTTATTTCTCTGGGTTTTGACCCAGCAATCCCTCTTCGTGTTTCCATTATTTTTGTGCTGGAAAAAATATGGATGGACTCACAACAATGCTATTCTTTTCAGCATTATTTATAAAAATTGATTTTAAAAAGAAGAAAAAGAAACCCAAAGGTAGCTAAGATAAACTATGAACATTCATTCTAGACTATATTAAACTATAAACCCAGAATGAAGACCTAGAATGAGGAAAATCTGTATCTCCAGAATATGTTGTTCAGTGAAAACAGCAAAGTGAGTATGTAAACTTTTCCACTGCTTATCAAAGAAAAGGGCAGGAGAATTGATTAGAATATATGTATATCCACATGCACACTCACATATGTGCATGTACACACATACACACATACTGAATATATGTATGCACATATTTTCTGGTATTTAAAAGCGGAAGAAAATATACACATTTTAAAATATTTACCTATCGGGGAGAGGGAAGAAACCAGGTTAGCACACTGGGATTATACCTAAATTTGTCTGAGGATATCTTGTTTTGGCTTTCAACTATGACTTTAGAACTATGCAAACATTTTCATCATTACAAAATAAAACTCAATACTGAAAATTCAATTCTTAAAACTTTTGGAAATGGAGAACATGAAATTTTACCTTATTCTGTCAACCAGGCACCACAAATAGACAGCTCAGAGAGAGAACTTTGGTAAGAATTCTTACCTTTTAAGGTTTCTACCAGTTTTCCCAAGATGTTGTCTGCAGGTGCACTGGAGCAAGTGGGGTGTCCCCGCGGGTCTCATCCTGATCACGAGGAGCTGCAGAAGAAGAAAGATCATTTTTCCTGTTCTTTATGAGGTGCTTGGCCAAGACCCTTTTTCTCTAGGGCATCTCATCATTATACAAAATTAGGTTAAGAGTTTTCCACTGTAGCCACCCAAATTCAAGATTATCTTTGGCAAGGTTAACCTTTTGTTTGGCATTAAAATTTTATTTACCTGAGGCGTCACACTGAACCCAGTCCAGTTTAAATTGGATCCAGTCTGCCCCCAGACCTGCTCCAGTTTCTAAACTGGAACTGGTCGGAACGAATCCGTCGCTGGACCCAGTCTGTCCCTGTGCCTAGTCCTATTTTTAAGTCGGTTTCAGAAAGTTCCAGGACCAAGTCCAGTTTCTAAATAGGACCCAATCCAATTTGGACCAGTTTCTGAGCCCAGTGGTTTCCAAGTAGGACCCAGTAAGCCTGACACCGGACCCTATCTGGTTTCTAAGGTGGACCCAGTCTGACTGCAGCCAGTTTCTAGACCTAGTAGTGAAACAAGAAATGCTAAAATAAAGCCTGAAACTTTGTACCACAAAAACTGCAAGCTAGGATATGAGGCAGCGAGACCAAGTGGTTCAATAAGTACCTATGCCCTAGTTACTCTGCTCTTCGTTCCCGGGGGCTGTCAGGGTCTCCCTCAGTTTCCTCTTATGATATCAAGACTATTACAAGATAAGCTGAGGCATATTAAAAATATTAAGAGTTTGCGCAAAAATCGATTTGAATCTGGCAGCAACCATTCTAGCAGAAAGAAAGGAATTTAGAGGAGTGGTACAAAATGGAAGACTTCGATAGGCAAAAGGGAGCGTGAAGAGTAACAACAACAACAAAAGGTTGTTTATTGCAAACTTACTTTCCTTTAGGGGATATAAGGGACTTAGCAGGCAAATTACTTACCTAGTGCTGATCAGGTGACTCCTCACTGACTGGTTTAAGACTCCATTTCTGGATTGCTGAAATGGTAATTAAGTCTCAGTTGGGTGACATGGAACTTAGCCTAAGCAACTCCATTTGGGGGCCTCTTGTTTTTAACATAAGATATTAATGGTACTCTTATTCATACAAACTATAACAATAATGAGACATTTAGAAAAGCTTGATGGATCAAATAGTGATATTTAAGGAATACTGATATTGCTAATTTGGCTATAATAGTACTGTGATTTTATTTTGGAAAAGTAAGAGCCTATCTTTTCAGATACTTAATGAAATTCAGATGAAAATGATATAATTTCTGAAATTTGTGTCAGTGTAATGAACAGGGAGGAGTAGTTAGGGACATATTTGAAATGACATTGGTCACAATTGATATTTGTGCGATACGATGTGTAGTGGGCAAATGAGGGTTTATTATATTGTCTTCTCTATTTTAACTTGCTTTTAAACTTTTCCATAATAAAAAGTTAAAATTTTTAAAATAAAAAGTGATTTTGAATCATTGAATGTAATTTAAACATTGAATGAACTTCAATTGAATGAAACTTACCAAATTAGAATCAATTGGTATATAAGTAAACATGCCAAAAACAGGATTGGAAGAAACATTCAACCCAGTCAGCAATTAAGAAAAAATATAAAGGAAATCTTGCTTCTTTGTAGTTATCATAAACTAATCTATCTCTAACTCAAATTTGTTTATTCCTAAAAAAAATGTAAATGATTTAATTCAACAGTGGGTTGGTTATTGATTGCATTTTTCAAAACTTTCCCTCAATTTAGTGAACCAATTCCTGTTTAGAGTTTTACTAATGAATCTTAATTATCAACTGGGTAGAACTTTCATAATGAACAGAGAAATGGTATAACCCTTACTGTAATTACTTTCAGAATCTGTTTAAGATGTTTTAAATATATATTAAACAGAAAAATTTTACATATTTAGAAAAACAGTGAATCTTCTCTGTTCCAAAATTTGTGATAGTTTTGTATATATGTCTATGTGCTTTTTTTGAAGATTATAACTTAATTGTAACAGATACTGGCATTATTTGGAGTTTTTTTATCTCAGTCTCCAGAATGGTAAAGCATGAATCTTGCCAAATACAATACATGTAATTAAAAACATATTTGGTATTTTATCATCTAAGTTTTCAAAATAGTTACACAAGGCAGATGTTGCTTCAGGCTAACATGAAAGCATAATATTATCACGATTACAAATAATGTTCTATAGGAGTCTCTATCCATAGGTAAATATAAGAAATGTTTTTAAATTATTATTTTTAGAGTTACAGTTTTCTTTCCTGGATAAAGTAGACCAGTTCAGTGTTTTCAATTAGTAGGTAGGAAGCTGGTTAAAAAAAAAATACGATCAATATTTGCCTTTCTGCCAGGAAACTGGTAAAAAAATAATAATAATCAATATTTTCCTTTTTTGCCAAATGACCTTATATTGCAGTTGAAGGGCTGAAAGGAAATCAAACAGTGCCCAAAGAGAATACAGAGTTGTTGTCTTTGAAAAATGACTGTCATACTCCTAAGAAATGTATCATGCAAGATGCAATTTCCAAGTAGGAGGGCCCAGAACTTTCTCTTGTAATGAGACATTCCCCCAAAAATTTTTTTTTAAGATTTCTTTGTTAGAATAAAGAAAAAGTGGACACATTATTTAGTATTGCTTTGAAAAAAATATGTTCCTGTAAACATAAGTCTTTACTAATATGGTCCAGCATAAGCTCACCATTTATGCCATTTATACTTCCTGCTTCTGTTGGCAGATTTTCTAATCATTTCACGTAAAGGCCTTAACTTGTCTTAATTATCAGTTTTTTAAATAAACAAATATTTCATTATTAGGCACTGATTTTCTAAAAGTTAATATTTAACTGCTTATTATACAAATGAGTTCAATGTTATCATGAAGTTAAAAAAAATCATCTTGAGAAATTTGTTTGCCAATACTAGAAAAGTGAATTTTCTTTCTTCATCTGATAGTTTTATTTGCATTCTGAAAGCTACTAAATATTTCCCTAAGTATAAACATCCATCATTTGCATATGACCTTCTATATATAAACTATTAGAGACAAGAACTAAGAAATATGGTCCTCTCCCACTGGGTTACCATTTCAAAAATAAAGGCTTAGAGTTCACACATAAGAATGATGTATTTATTGTATGATGTCATTATGTGCCAGCATAGTTAGGACAATGAAGCAGAGTATGTTCTGAAGGATCATACGGTCTATTTACCAAGTAACAGACAAGTAAATATATCATTAAAATAAACTATAATCAATGTCAGGAAAGCAGGAAGCAAAGAAAGTCATGGGATTGCAGAACAGGTGCAGATTCCTGGAGGAAGTAAATAATTGGCTGAGACTTCAATGATTAGCAGTAATTATTAGCCTGTTAATTTCATGTGCGCTGAGGGGGTTAGTGGGATGTAGAGATGAAGATGAAGGGAAAGAAAAAATAGTGATAAGGTCATATGCAAGAGGGTTTCTGGATTCAAGGAACACAAAACTGTACCTGAGGGCTGAAACATGAAGGTCAAGCCGGAAAGCATAGCTTGCTTATACTGGAGGAGAGGAAAGCTTCTATACCAAGCTCATGCTTTTAGTTCTCTTAAAGACCATGGAGAATCACTGGGTGTTTTTAAATAATGGAATGATGTGATTAAGACTGCACAGGTTTGCGAGGACTCTCTTGTCCCCTTCTGGTGTGAGCCAGAAGCTCTGTCCTCTTGCTTTCTCTCTAAATAAAAGCCTCTCACTTGCTCTCCTAAAAAAAAAGACTGCACAGGTTTGGGTAAATTCCTAGGAGTGGATGGATGGAGCTAGAGGGTATTATGCTCAGTGAAATAAGCCAGGCAGCAAATGACAAGTACCAAATGATTTCCCTCATTTGTAGAGTATAACAACAAAGCGAAACTGAAGAAACAAAACGGCAGGAGACTCACAGACTCCAAGGGACTAAGCAGTTACCAAAGGGAAGGGGTGTGGGAGGGTGGGTGGGGAGGGAGGGAGAAGGGGATTGAGTGGTATTATGATTAGTATACATAATACAGATAGGTCACAGGGAAGACAGTGTAGCCCAGAGAAGACAAGTAATGACTCTGTGGCATCTTACTACACTGATGACAGTGACTGCAATGGGGTATGGGGGGAATTTGATAATATGGGTGAATGTAGTAACCACAATATTTTTCATGTGAAACCTTCATAAGAGTGTATATCAATGATACCTTAATTAAAAAAATAGAATTCATGTTAACATTTAAAATGTACCAAAATTAACATATGTACATATTTAGGGAAAAAAAAAGACTGTATGGTTTATTTGCTAAAACCCCATCCAACTCTGTGAACTTGGGTTTTTACAGAATGTGTTATGATTATAAGAGTGAGAACTGGGCTGCAGTTAGAGATCAGTTCAGGGATTTCAAGTCCTGATGACCAACACACCCTCAAATGAGTTTGAAATACTGATGTTTTTAGCACTTCAACTCTGAAACTGTGTGAGAGATGGGAGACATGTGGGCAAATAATCCTGTGCCCTGGGAGCCTAAGAACATGACACCTGGGAGAAGAATAAGTTATAGGAACAATCACTGAGCTCACAATCAATAAGGGTCTTTGAAGGAACACTTGCTCCTTTTTGTTAGAAGTCTCTGTGAATTAGAAATTCTCTTTCTCATTTTCCAGTATGAACTTCCCACCCAAGTCCCACAGTTGATTTCATCTTCTTCCCTAATTTAAACTTTTCACAGTGTACCATTTTCATAGCCTCTTCTTGTGTCATCCCATCAACATTTTCTCTTTTGTTATGAATAACAAAATGCATGTGCTTGCATATGTCTACACACACACAAATATGCAAATAAGCAAAATCCAAAAATACTCTATTCTTTCTACTTAGTGCCAAATTTCTGTTATGCTTTATACTTTTTAATCTCTTCCAATGTGACTTTCACCCCCATTAGTCATTAGAGAACATAGTACAAAACAAATTTCTAGGTGTAATCCTCTACTTTCTGTCATGTATGATGCTCATATTTACACACTCAAAATCACCTTTTTCATTTACCTCTCATTTAGTCATCACATTTGGAATATGCCATCAGAGACAGTCTCTTATGGTAGAATCTCATAGTTGCTGTAAGGGACTCACACCCCTCTAACGTGCTGAGATGTCAGAGAGGAAGGAACCATGATGAGAATAGCTGGCTCCAGAAGAAAGCATAATCACCTAAGAAAGGTACAAGTGAGGACTCCTGGGTATTTTGGACATTGATAAAGAAATGACAGCAGAACTTACAGTGATAAAATAACTTAGTGGATAGATGA